AATCAAACAGAACCACTTTCACCTAGATCAGTAGCAGACTCTTGTGAAAGTAGAATGGCGAATGGTGAGAGATGAGGAGAAATTCCTATGAGAGAGGGGGAAGTGCCTAACATTTGAACTCTGCGGGATTACTTAAATCCCACAAGAAATATTGTCCCCCTCTTGTTTTATCTTCCTTGAAGATGCACCCCTCTTTACTGTAAAGACGGGGAAAATTCAACTGCTCCCTCAATTCCACGGACTCGAAACAGAAAACTCATATCTGCACATAAAAGAGTTTGAGGAAGTATGTGGAACGTTTCAAGACAATTCTGAGCTAGCCAAAAAAAAAAAATTCATTCTATTTAAAGGATAAAACTAAACAATTGCTATATTCTTTTAAAATACTTTCAATACCTCTCTCATATGACCTCAAATATGCATTTCTAGGAGAGGACGAGTCGTACCCAGTGGTAATTTCATCCAAGCTCACAGACTTGCAAGAGTCTAAACTGATTAAAGTTCTTAAAAGCCACAAAAGCACTATTGGGTGGACCATCGCTGACTTGAAAGGTATAAACCCATTGATCTACAATCATGCCATATATTTGGAAGAGGATTCAAAACCTTCTCATCAAATGCAGCGATGACTGAACCCTCACATGAAGGAATTTGTGAAAATGGAAGTGCTTAAACTCTTAGATGCAGGGATAAACTTTCTCATCTCTGATAGTAAATGAGTTAGTCCAACTCAAGTTATGCCCAAAAATTCTGGAGTCATAGTGGTCAAAAATGAAGCCAATGAACTAGTACTAACTAGAGTCATCACAAGATGGCGGATGTGTGTTGACTATCGAAAGCTCAATTTGGTGATTAGAAAGACCATTGCCCTCTTCCCTTTCTGGACCAGGTTCTAGAGAGAATTGTAGACCATGAATTTTACTGTTTCTTGAATGGGTACACTACAACAAAAATTATTTTTTGCGACGTTTTTTTTGCAACGAATTTTAATTCGTCGCAAAAAGTATACTATCCATGACGTTTTAATAATTTTGTCGCAAAATGTATTTATTGGGAATTTTTTTGCAACGTTTTTTAAAAACGTCGTGAAAAGGTGATTCCTTCCGATTATTTTTTGGCACGAGAAATGGCGGGAAATTAAGATTTTTTACGACAAAAAATTATTGTCACCAAAAGCTTTTAATTCATTGCAAAAATAAAGAATATAAAATAATATCAAAATACATAATTCACGACGTTTTAAATTTTCGTCGCAGAAGATAAATTTTTATTATTAAAGTTAAATGAAATATTAATGTCAATGGGTGACGCGTTTTAAAATTCGTCGCAGAATGTAAATTTATTAATTTTAAATTAGACTTAAAATTTTTTTGCGACATTTTTTAAAAACGTCGCAAAAGATAATTTTTCCTAAGTAAAGTTAAATGAAATAATAATGTCAATTAGTGACGTTTTTATAAATTCATGGCAGAATGTAAATTTATTAATTTTAAATTAGACTTAAAATGTTTTTGCGACATTTCTAAAAAATGTCGCAGAAGATAAATTTTCCTAAGTAAAGTTAAATAAAATAATAATGTCAATTAGCGACATTTTTATAAATTCATCGCAGAATGTAAAATTATTAATTTTAAATTAGACTTAAACTTTTTTTGCGACGTTTCTAAAAAACGTCGCAGAAGATAAATTTTCCTGAGTAAAGTTAAATGAAATAATAATGTCAATTAGCGACGTTTTTATAAATTCGTCACAGAATGTAAATTTATTAATTTTAAATTAGACTTAAAAAAAATTTTGTGACGTTTTTTGAAAAACGTCGCAGAATATAAATTTTCCTCAATTAAGTTAAGTGAAATAATAATGGCAATTGGCGATATTTTTATAAATTCATCGCAGAATGTAAATTATTATTTTAAATTAGACTTATAATATTTGTTGCGACGTAGAATATAAATTTTCCTAAGTAAAGTTAAATGAAATAATAATGTCAATTTGCGATGTTTTTATAAATTCGTTGCAGAATGTAAATTTATTAATTTTAAATTATACTTAAAAAATTTGTTTGCGACGTTTTTCCAAAAGGTCATATTCTTCCACCATTTTTTTGGCGCGAGAAATTGCGGGAATTGATGATTATAAATTTTAAATTAGACTTAAAATTTTTTTGCGACGCTTCTAAAAAATGTCGTAGAAGATAAATTTTCCTGAGTAAATTTAAATGAAATAATAATGTCAATTAGCGACATTTTTATAAATTCGTCGTAGAATGTAAATTTATTAATTTTAAATTAGACTTAAATTTTTTTTGTGATGTTTTAAAAAAAACGTCACAGAATATAAATTTTCCTCACTAAAGTTAAATGAAATAATAATGTCAATTTGCGACGTTTTTATAAATTCGTCACAGAATGTAAATTTATTAATTTTAAATTAGACTTATAATTGTTTTTGCTACGTTTGTGAAAAACATCGCAGAATATAAATTTTCCTAAGTAAAGTTAAATGAAATAATAATGTCAATTTGAAACGTTTTTATAAATTCGTCGCAGAATGTAAATTTGTTAATTTTAAATTAGACTTAAAAATTTGTTTGCGACGTTTTTCAGGTCATATTCTTGCACCATTTTTGTTGGCGCGAGAAATGGCGGGAATTGATGATTATTAATTTTAAATTAGACTTTAAATGGTTTTTGGCAACGTTTTTAAAAACGTCGCAAAAAGTGTATCCTCCCAATTTTTTTTTTGGCGCGAGAAATGTTTTTCTCTCTCAAATAAACTTTGATTCCCCAGCAAATAAATAATATAAGATTAATATAAAAATAAAGTTAAATATATAATTCGTGACGTTTAAATTTTTCGTCGCTGAATACAATCCAACAAAAAATCATTTATTAATTCATGAATTTTTTTTTCATCTTAAAATTGTCATTCTCTCTATCTCTTATTTGTCGCGAGTGATGGCGGGAAATGACAATATTTTTTACGACAAAATATTTTTGTCGCAAAAATTAAATTGTGACGTTTTTATTTTCGTTGCAGAATATAAATTACAACCATATTTAAAGTTAAAATAAAATAAAAATATTAAATTGCTACGTTTTATTATTTATGTCACAAAAATATTTTTGAAATTTATGATGAAGGTTTTATTTTCGTCGCAGAATATAAATTTATAACAATACTAGTTATTATCTGTGCCTGAAGGCACAGGGTAATAAAAAATGGTAAATAATAAACATATTTATATTAATATCCAAAATCAAATAACAAACATAAATAAAAGATAAAAAAATTTAAGCATCGATTTGTAGCGGTGATGAGAGGTGGTGGGGCGACAGTGGTGGTGGTAGGAGATGATGATGGTTGTGATGGGTGGCAATGACCATGATGGCGGCAAAGGTGACAATAATGGAGGTGGTGGCGGCATGGTGAGGGTGAGGGTGAGGGTGGCGGTAATGGTGACGACGATGGTGGTGGTGGTAATAGTGGTGGCGACGGCGACGGTGGTAGCGGTGGTAGAAATAGTGGTAGAGCGATTTCAAGCACTATTTTTTTTAAAGTATTTATTAAATATAATTTCTAAAATTACTTTTAAAAAGTCACTCCAAACACACCTTTAGGGACCTATTTTTTTTTATTAATTTTAAAGTGTTAATATTAACCGTTAGATTAATTTTAAAGTAAAATGTAAAGCGATCTCAACCGCGAATAGCAAAAGTTATTTTGTTTATTTTTGAAATTTGAATTGTAAGTTACTTTAATATATAGATATTATATTCAACATTTATTGCTTTTTCTGCTAGAAAATTTGTATATTAATTAAAAGTGTTACGACAAAAAGAAAATAAGCGCAGATAATTTTAATTCGTATTAAATAAAATTATTAAATCTCGACATTTTTATATTCGTCACATAATTTAATTTTTGTAATTTTAAATTAGAATTAAAATTACAATTGCGACATTTTATATTTTGATGCAGCACAATTTTTTTTTAAAACAAATACACTGTTTCTTGGCCCAAAACAAATTCATTTATAGCTAAAACGATGTCGTTTTGACTATTTAAAAACGTCACGTTCCACTTCTTCTTCTTCACATTCCCTTTTCCACACTCTCCCTCTCACTCACTTTCCACTTCCTCTTCGTCAGCTAGTAAGACCCCCAAAGCAAGAGCACTTCTTCGTCAACCGAAGCCTCGCTAGCTCCTAGATTCTCGCCTCTCTAGCCTCTCCATTGATTGAACTCGAAGCCTTCACAGACATTGAAGCCACAAGCCAGAAAACCAAGCCCCGATCAAACTCGAAGCCTTCATCCTCTTTCTCTCAGACCATCGAACAAAGTTGCTTCAGATTTGCCTTCATCAAACAAAGCCTTCATCCTCTTTTGAAATCGAGGACCATCAAACAAAGCCTTCATCCTCTTTTGAAATCGAATAAAGCTGCTCCAGATTTGCTGCTTCAAATCAATCGAACAAAGCTCTTTCTCTCAGAGCCGCACAAGCCACAAAACTTCAGAGCTGCTTTAGATACATACTCTCTCTCTTTCTCTCTCTGTGTTATGTATATATATCGTTGTATGCGTGTATGTGGGTTTGAATGTTTCAAAGTAATAGAGGAAGGTATGTGCAGTGAAGACAGAAGATATATGCATCGAAGACATTGAAGAAGCATTGTGAATTGAAGACCTAATAGATACGAAAAAAATTTCAGTTCTTGGGTTATAGACTATGCATTGTTTGGCCATAGGTTTTCAGTTAGTGTTTCTTTTTGATTTAGTTATTTAGTTAGTTATTCTCATGGTTTAATGTTGGCCTTATTTCACTGAATTTTTGGCATCATTGGCAGTTCAAGTTGGAGTTTACACTGATTTTTCAGTCAGTGGCATTCTACTTTTAACTGGAAGATTATTTTTACTTTAGGATCAGTCTAATATACATTCTGCTAGGTTGAAAAGAATTTCAATTAGTGATCCAAGAGCTAGAGGTTGAGGTGAATGCAGGATGTACAGAGCATCAGGGTTTTCTACAAAGTGAGAGAAGGTGGTGTCTGTCAGATCAGGCAGACTGGTGTTGCATCAGAAAATCCCTACTGTTTCTAAAATTTATATATAAACAAGGTGGATACCAGAGATGGTCAAGGCAGAGTTTTCTGCTTAGATGCAGCATCTGTGATGATGTAGTCTGCTGAGAAGGATTTTTCATTGATCAAGCAATTGCCTGTTGAGAATTCAGAGGATGTTGTCTATTATAAAGAGTTAGGTACTGAAATGCATATATATTGTCTGTTTGGGCAGTTAGTCTGTGATTTCTGTATGTTCTGGTCTGCTTCTGAGTGCTGCATTGGTTTGCTTTTTGGTGGACAGTGAACAAGTTTTCACTATCAAAAAACTTTGAGCTAATTATTTTTCTTTTTTTATGCAATCACAAAAATATAGCTGAAGTTCTTCTTTGTTTCTCATTTCAGGTCATTTTGGATATAGTGAACTACCAATCCCAGTATACCATCCAGATCATGGCAGTGAACTGAAACGGATATTAAGCTTGTTGTGCTTGAAGATGAAAAATAGGATGGTTTGATTGCAAAGTGAAATGGGTTTGATTGCAAACCTTGAAAAGGTTTCATTTGTGTCCCCTTTCTCTCTTGAACTGTGAATGTAAGTTGGCATCTTAGTTGTCTTGGCTCTCAATTGCTTCGTAAGGCAGGTTTCTCCTTCAAATTTTAACTTACTTTTCACTGTTGTTGTGGTAGCTGGTGGAGTTGTTAGACACTCCTTTGCATAATTATTTTAAGTAGAATGACTGCTTGAATTATTTCTTCTGCTTTCGGTGGGTTCTTATACAATTTAAAAGGTAAGTGAGACAGTTACCTGGATTTATTAGTTAGTAGTCATCTTTATATATGGATGTAAACAAGGTAACTGTCTTCAACGGTCAAACACGATATCGTTGTTTTGATTACTGAGCTATTGTAATTGATGACAGAGATCTTAATTATACAGTCAGTTAAGAACATCCAGTCATTTCTTTCTTCATACAACTCATACATCTTAAGCACATGCATGTGCAGGAACTGAGGAAACAATTGGAAAATCAAGTCATAACCATTGATTGCTTGCGCAAAGAGAACTGTGCAGCTATTGAGCATAATGAACTTGTATGGGCTGCTTGTGTTTGTGACCCTCATTCTTTCCTCTCATTTATGCATGTTTGTGTGCACTGAATTGGTTTTAGTGAGTCTGCAATCCAAAATATGTGGGCTGAAAAGCATTATTAAATGATCAAATTGAGTTAGTGTTAGTGTGTCTGTGAGTTGGTATTTTCTTAGCTAAATTTGTTTTGTGTCCTGTAATCATCTCAATTGATTTCTTATTGGGAAGTCCTTGATCTAAATTGTTTCTAGTGTGCCGTATTTTCTACTTTAATGAAGGTTACAGTAGCTTTGATTTTTTGTTTTGTGTCTTGTAATCATCAGACATTTTGCTAACAAGTGTCTAAGATGCACCTGGTACCAATACCTATGTTATGTTACAACTGATGTAGGCACTTCACACTTTTAGGTCTTGTCTAACAAGTTCTCACCAGTCAATAGTGGTGGTTAAAAATTGGGAAGAATATTGTGATTCTTATGTTGGTTTTTGCTTGTCCTTTTTTCAATTTACCCAACAAAGTTTTGTTCCTTGACATTGTCTTAATTGACATTCATACCTCTTATGCAGGAGATCAAAGACTTGAAAGCATCAATTTCAAAATCTTACCTTGATCAACAAGAAGAGTTGTGCCAATTGTTAGATGCCAAACAGAAGGAACTAGCAGAGGTTAATAGAATATACGTTGAACAAAAACATGCTATGGAGAACCTTACTGAAAGAATTGGTGCTTCTATGTTGTCATGTACTGAAGCAAATGAAGTCATAAATAGGTGAGACATGCATCATATTTGGTTGGTGTTCAAATAATGGGCATTGAAAACCATGCATCAGTCACATTTTTTATTCATTCCATCTTTTTTTTAGTCCTTGCACTGATTGGTTTAAGGTTTCTGTTTCTTTTCTTAGAATAAGTAGTCGTATGTTCTAGATGCATGTCCAGAAAACAAGATGCTAATTTTTTGAAGAAATTAAAAAAAAACATATAATGAAGGCAGGGGTGACTTAAATGAAGAACCACATAGTGCACCTGCATTATCTTCCATCCATTAATAAAATTAGTCACCTACTGAATCGATTCAAAGATTGCTTTTGGGTTGTTTCATCCACTTGTTGTATAATTCTGTTAGTTCTATGTTGTAATTCATATAGGTATGTTGATTGTCCCCCTTCCCTTTTTTTCCCTCTTGTATTTTTCCTTCTCTCAAAAGGCAACTGCACTGATTTTCTCTTAGTTTATCCACACTACTTTATCAACACTTGTTTTCATTGTAAATGTTGCCTCTCTCTTTCAATACTCTTATTCTGTTTTCACTGATTTTTCAGAAAGTAGTATTATGTCACTCGATGGAAGGTTGGTTTTGCATCAGGATCAGTCCAGGATCCCTATTGCTAGGAGGAGGAAAGTTGTGTGTGGTGGTCAGTTTGATTATGCAGATCCTGGATAATGTTGAGCTTGGAGATGATATTTCAAAGCATGGAGCTGGACTGCTGAAGCTGTTCAAGTTTAAGAGATATTAAATGTAATTAGAGATGGTTTAAATCCTCTTGAAGGATTAAAGTCATTTTTTCTATTTTTAGAACTTCTTGTTCTTTGATTCTTGCAATTTATTCTTTTTGGAAATAAAATTTTATTTTTTTAAAAAAAGATGTGAAATGTATTAATTGAGTTAGTTTTTTATTGAACAAAGATATTATTGGTGTACAGGTGAAAATTTTTATTGGAATATCATTTTTTTTTGTAAAATAAATAAAAACGAACTTTTTTGCAACTAAATAAAAATCGTCACAAAAAATTGCATGAACAACCTTTTTCGCGACGATTTTTAAAGGTCCCAAATGTATTTATTTAATTATTTTTTATTTATGTAAAAATTTATTTGAAACGATTTTTTTTACGTCGCAAAAATATTAATTTAATTATTATTTTTTACATTTTTTATTTATGAACAAATTATTTGCGACAATTTTTTTACATCGCTAAAAATTAATTAACTTATTATTTTTTATATTTTTTATTTATGTAAAAAATTATTTGCGACGATTTGTTTACGTAGCGAAACATTAATTAAATTATTATTTTTAACATTTTTATTTATGAAAAAAGTATTTGCGACGATTTTTTGACGTTGCAAAAAATTAATTAAATTATCATTTTTTATTTTTTACGCTGATGGAATAGATTTTAGCTACGTTTTTTTTAACTTTTAGTGACACTTTTTTGTCACAATTTTTTTTTTTTTTGCGATGAAAATAAATTTGCGTCGCAAAATACTTTTTGCGACGAGGCTATTGCGACAAACACGCAACGAACAAAAAAGGTCACAAAAAATAATTTGCGACGAGTTTTTTTAATTTAGCGACGAAAAATATCGTCGCAAAAAAAGATTTTTATTGCAGTGGTATTCTGGGTACAATCAAATTGAGATAACACTCAATAATCAGGAGAAAACCATATTCACATGCCCCTTTGGCACTTTTGCATTCAAAAGGATGTCATTCGGACTTTGTAACGCTCCTGTAACATTCCAAAGATGCTTGTTGAGTCTGTTCACTGACATGGTCGAAAAATTTTTGGAAGTGTTCATGGATGACTTCTCTGTCTATGGTGACTCATTTGATTTGTGTCTGGCCAACCTAGAAAATGTGTTGATAAGGTGTAAAGAAGTTAATCTGGTACTTAATTGGGAGAAATGTCACTTTATGGTAACACAAGACATTGTCTTGGGTCACATTGTGTCGTCTAAGGGCATGAAAGTTGACAAGGGCAAAATAGATTTGATTGGGAACTTGCTTGTTCCCAAGACTGTGATCATTTCTGGGCCATGCAGGATTTTACAGGAGATTTATAAAAGATTTCAGTACCATAGCAAAACTCATGTCATCTCCTAAGTCAGGACGTAATCTTTGATTGGAGTGAAGCATGTCAAAAAGATTTTGACAAGCTTAAAGGCATGTTAATTTCTGCCCCAATAATGCAGTCCCCTAACTGGACTCCGCCCTTTGAACTAATGTATGATGCAAGTGATTATGTTGTAGGTGTTGTATTAGGACAAAGAAAAGATAAGAAACCACAAGTCATTTACTATGCAAGTAAAACTTTGAATGATGTTCAAATGAATTATTCAATAACTAAAAAAGAATTGTTTGCGGTAGTTTATGCTTTAGAAAAATTTCGTCATTTTCTTGTTGGTTCTTCTGTTACTGTATTCACTGACCATGCAGCATTAAAATTCTTGCTCACAAAGAAGGATGCTAAGCCTAGACTCTTAAGATGGATACTCTTACTTCAAGAGTTTACCCTGGTCATTAAGGACAAAAAGGGTGTTAAAAATGTGGTGACAGACCATCTGTCCAGGTTAACTTACGAATTTCACGAGGATGAACTATCAATCAATGAAAAATTCCCTGATGAACAACTTTTCATAATTGATGAGACCCTATGGTACGCTGATATTTGCTAATTTTCTTGTTACTGGAACACTCCCTCTGTCCTTTTCCTCCACTGACAAAAAGAAATTTTTGAGGAAGGTTTGTAACTTCTTTTGGAAAGATCTGTACGTATTTAAATACTGTAAGGATCAAATCATAAGACGTTGCATTCCCACTCGAGAAAACATATATATAATAATATTTTGTCATTCTGAAGCATGTGGTGGCCACTTCTCCTCAAGAAAAACCGCTGCAAAAATCTTGCAGTGCGGATTTTACTGGCCCACACTTTTTAAAAGATGTCCATGCTTTTTGTTTAAATTACGATAGATGCCAAAGGTTGGGAAGCATTTCAAAAAAAAAACATGATGCCCTTAAACTCGATTTTTGTGATTAAAATTTTTGACTGTTGAGGCATTGATTTTATGGGACCATTCCCCCCTTCCTTTGACTATCTATACATTTTAGTGGCCATAGACTATGTATCCAAATGGGTTGAGACAATTCCATACCGAAATAATAATCACCAAACGGTAATCAAATTTCTTAAAGAAAACATTTTTTCCCGGTTTAGAGTTCCTAAATCAATCATAAGTGATGGGGGGCTCATTTTTGCAATCGCTCTTTCTAGAATTTGATGAAAAAATATTTGATTTTCCATATAATTGCAACCCCTTATCATCCACAGACTAATAGATAGGCCGAATTAGCTAATCGAGAGATCAAATTAATTTTGGAAAAAACGGTAAATCCAGACCTCAAAAATTGGTCGTCAAGACTAACTGATGCACTCTGGGCATATCGCACAACATTTAAAACAATTTTGGGCATGTCTCCTTATCAATTAGTCTATAGAAAGCCGTGTCACCTACCTGTGGAATTGGAACATAGGGCATACTGGGCCATTAAAGCAGCGAACAGTGACTTGGACAAGGCTGGATTTTCAAGAAAATTGTAAATTAACGAACTGGAGGAATTGAGAAATGAAGCATTTGAAAATGCTAAAATTGTGAAATCCAGGATGAAAATTTTTCATGACAAAAACAGTGTGCAGAAGTCTTTTGAACCTTCTCAAAAAGTCTTATTGTTTAATTCAAGACTCCACCTATTTCTTGGTAAATTGAGATCAAGATGGACAGGGCCTTATATTGTCAAAAAGGTGTTTGAACCCGGAGCAGTAGAAGTGAAAAATCCATCGAACGGTAATATTTTTATTGTTAATGGTCAACGGTTGAAACCACTTTTGGAGAACTTTGTCAAAAATGTGGAGACCATTCTTTTAAAGGATCCAGAACATCGCTTCGAGAAAAGCGCCTGCCTACACAAAAAGAGGGCTGGTCAAGAAAAACCCGATTAAACCCGACCCATAGGCGCACCTTTATAAGCCGTCTTTCCCCTTTTCTGTTTTTTCCCCACCGCATTTCCCCTTTTTCCTTTTTCCTTCTTCTTTTTCTTCTTCTTCGCTGTTCATGATCTTCTGGAACCACGACCCATCTCCCAACATCACCATGACCATATTACCTGAAGACCCAATCCTTTGTCTCATAATCTGCATGTGTTTACTCTATTTTTACATGACTCTTCTTCTTATGTCTGCACTCAAAATCAAGGGTTTTCATCCTGGCAGAAACCCAGATCTGCAAAGAGATGTTTGATTTGTGTATTTTGCTTGTAGGTTTTGGCAGATGAACAAGATCTCTACCGTTCAACCTCATCTCCAAAGCTCAACATTTCGGTAAATTCGAAACATTATGGACAATGTTCAGTTTAGGTTGGGGGGTAAGAATAATTCATATTTTGTGCCCGTAAAATTTTTTTGATGTTGTTGTTGTTTCTGATCATATTGTGTACCTTGCCTTGAATTTTGTATAAATTAATGATTATGTCTGTGAGTCAGCTTAAATCGTCTTTGTGACTGGCAGACATTAAAGAACTAGATAGTGAGTCTTAAAGTGTAAAAAGTATGGATGTTAAACTTTTTTGGTTTAGTCTAGGAGTTTTGCGCACTTTTTCTTTTGATGTGCATACTATAATCATGAGAAAAGCAAGATTGGTAAGAAAGAATGAGAACTGAGAAGAGCAAGCGAAACCCCTCTGTGGCAGAAGCACTTTTGCTAAACGCCGTCGTGCCAAAAGGCTTGGTGCTTGTAAACAGTGCGGCAGAGTCTTCCATGAGAAAAGATATAATCAGTGTTTTGAACCAATTTTTGGTCGCGCACTCGATCGATTAGACTGGATAGTGAATGGGCAGAGTAAGGATTATCCTGACACGCCAGCCTATTTTGGTACTTTGCTTAACCGGTTTGTGCGACAAGAAATTAGAAGAGTCACTGGTTGTTCGAATTACACAGATACAGAGGGAGACTTGGATTAGAATAGGTGGGATGAAAGCCAAGGGTCCAAATATTTGTGAAAAATGTGTAAAAATATTTTTTGTTTTGTACAAACTCTTTTGACTGAAATGAAAAAATGGGCCTAATAAGGAATTTCCCAGAATACCAACCTGAAGCGTGGTAGGGACTTATCCTGAGACGCCATGAATTTTTGGATCAAACTTGCGTATATTGCCCCTTTTTTTTATGCATAATATAGTGCAGAAACATTTTAAAAATTTTTGAGTTTTGATTCCACGTTTGAACGCCAACTGACGTTCGAAAGTGGGTTGCTTGTAGTACTCAGCCTTTGATGGAAACAAAAAAGTACTGGAAGCTCAGCCCGTTTGAACACCAATAGCCCATTCGAATTATGGTTACGTTCGAACGCCAATAGAATGTTCGAATGACAGTAACTTATAAAACTTTGGTCTCTGACAGAACTCAAAAGTACTAGGAGCTCACTATGTTTGAATGACACCCACGTTCAAATGATATTTTAAAAATTCTTCTACAAACATTCGAACATTATTGACTTTCGAACGTTACTTCTCAGACTATAAAAACCTAAGTCGTCTTCCACACTGAGAAATCCCCAAAAACCTCCAAAATCTCTCAAACCCTATAACCTATTTGCGATACCAAGCTCCCAAAACACCTCTCATTCTCCAAATTCACCTAAAATCAACCCTCCCAAACGCATTCCCATATCAAAAACCGCGATCCCACAAGAAAATCAATACTTCTCATAGATTCTCTTAAGCTCAAAATAATGCCTAGAGTTAAACTACCAGCCAGGCGAACC